CAGACACCGATATTATTGCAGAAAGCAAAAATCTGCTGATCAGCAACAAATCAGGCCCATGAAACAGAAACCTGACTGTTGGTAAATATTATCCCCTCTCCTGTACCAGCTGCGGTCTCCGGCATGCAGAGTATCATAATCCTTGACCTACTGTAAAAATAAAAATAAAAAAGGCATGCAGTACAGTGTCATTCCTGTTCAGGCCAAAAATAGAGAGAGACAAACCAAAGAAAGACCTTCCACAAAAGCTGGCTTGCATACAGAGGGTATGATTGATAAAAGCTTGCTGGCACACCACAATTCATTAATGCTTGGTTGGCTGTAAGTACACATCAGATCAACCATGTAACCTTCACCGTAGCTGAATTAACCTCACTCAATAAGAGAATCTCCAATTTAATCATATTTAGAGACCCACCCAATTCCATAAGTTGTTGGCTTTTAGAAGTAGTCTAGACTAGAAGCTACAACTGTACAGTAGTGGCCAAAATTGTGGAAACCTTTTGGGGAAAGTGTTCAGTAGAAATGCCACCTTTGGTTAAGTTTCCATCAATTTTTCTTCTAATTTCTTTATAACTGTAGCCTTGTTCACTTAATAATACTATTTTACATCGCTTTCTGGGCAACCAGTCAACTCTTTGCACCATTCCTTTAATTTTATTACATTTTACAAGCTCACTAAGTGAAAGAACACAAAAAAAACCCCAACCCACTTGATAGCCATCACATAACACACTGACAAATGTCCTCCTCTCAGCTTCAATATACGACATCAAAAACCGAATCCTACTGTGATCTGATTGGCTCATTGCCAAAACAAGGTGACACTGGATTGGCTCTCTAAACACTCATGCTCATTGGCTACAATCAGATGAAGGAAAGCTACCTGAGATCAACCTAAGCAAGTTGTGCTTCCTTTTTCTGGTTATTTGGCTATACCTTTTCATAGAATACAGTACAGATAATTGAACAAACTATGTTGCATTGCATTCTTGATTAAATTATCTTTCCATTGATATATAATTTTATGGTATTACTCAAAAAAAGTGGTGTTATTAGCCATCAAACCTCAAAAATACACTTTTCCCAAAAGGTTTCCACAATTTTGGCCACTACTGTAAGTGCCAACTTTACTGTAGGATTACATTAAAAGAATCTTGCAAGTCGGAACGTACATCTCTCTCCCACTCGTCTTTAGGGTCCCTTCTGAGATGTTGGCCACACCTGAATTGTTTCCATGGGCTAAGATGCCTCTTATCTAACCCTTGCCCAGACTGCTACTCCTCTTCTTCCCCCTCTTCTACCTCCTATCTCTCAAGGATATTCTCACAGACCATTACTCTGTCAGTAGCTGCCCAACCAGTGTGTGGAAAAAGTAATGTGCGTAATGACAGGAAGAACTCACAGAATTTCACAGGCACGGAATGTGGCTGTAACTGCAAGAAAACTCAACAAATTCACAAACAAACAAAAAAATGATTAAAAACCAAGCCAAAGAAAATGCATCTCGCAAAGCCCAGATTCTTACGTGAGCAAGCATTGACACACCGATCCTTCATATTCAATTTATCTTGAAGCAATCTAAAAAGTTGTCTTTCAATAAAAATTAAAGGGAAAATGAATAAAATCCATTGATACCTTTCCACTCCAAGTCTCATGGTTCATGCTGTCAATAAAAATAATAATGAGCATTGCAGCAATTAAGCATAAAAACAACCTTGCCTGCTTAAGGCTGCTCTGTCTGTCTGTCTGTCTGTCTGTCTCTCTCTCTCTCTCTCTCTCTCTCTCTCTCCCTCTCTCTCTGCCTGTGTGTGTGTGTGTGTGTGTGTGTGTGTACACACACCATAAAAAGGGCACACTCAGTTTGTTGTTATTTTACTACTTCCACATGCTAATTATAATACCCTTGCGACCGAACTAGGAATTTGTTTTAAAAGAACTGAGATATCACAGTATAATATTCCCTCTAGTGGTCATCTCACAGTCTCACAAAGCAGCCATCAATAGGGCATGCTTTCTATCTTTCATTTTTTTCATTATTATAGTTTTATTAAATACTAGCTGTACCTGGCCACGCGTTGCTGTGGCTCAGTCTGGTTAAATAGAAAAGAAAGAAAAGAGAAAGCGCACGTTTGTAATATGTTTAATTTCACAATGCTTGTGGGTATACAATATTTTTTGTTGTTCCATTGTCTGTGCAGATATAGAGATTGTCTGGTTTGCCAACTCTAGAACACGCAACATATAATTGTCCATGTGAGAAGCAATCCGTGTCTAGATCTAAACCGCACAGTTCTAAAGATTGGCCCTGAGCTTTGTTGATGGTGATTGCAAACGCCAATCGAATTGGGAATTGCAATCTCTTAAATTGAAATGGCATATCCGTTGGAATCATAAGCATGTTTTTACCTGTCACAGGAGTGACATCTATATAATAGTAGTATATAACAACACGCGCGTATTCAAATGCAACGTTGTGTCAAAATTTCAAAGCAATCGGTGAAGAACTTTCGGAGATTTAAGATTTTGAACAAACAAACATTTACATTTTTATTTATATAGATTTTGACACAGAAAAGAAAATAGAAGTAAAACGGAGAAAAAGAAGCAGAGAGTTTACAAGCATTATAGAATTAAAAAGAACTAGGCTTGTTAGGCATGAGTTTTCCGTATTCCAGTATCTTAACGCTGTTTTTAAAATTGCAGGACATTTTAAGATGCAAGTAATAAATAGATATCCACAGCAGTAAGCAGCAGAGTATAAACCATAAAATAAGGAATTAGTGTAATTTATGTGCAAACAGTGACAAATCTATCTTTAACAGATCACTGAAAGTTAGAATATCAAGATTATGTTCAGGAAAATGCAAGATTCAGACAAGTATGAGTACATATATAATGTCAGTATAGTTTTCAAGAATTAAATTCTGTGCTAGATTTACTTTTCTACAGTCACCTTTCAATTAAATCCATTAGAGTTTGTCAGCTGTGGTTTATTACTGCAGCTAGTGTGTGCATCTAGACCAGGGGTAGGCAACCTTGGCTCTTTTATGACTCGTGGACTTCAACTCCCAGAATTGTTGAAGTCCATGAATCATAAAAGAGCCAAGGTTGCCTACCCCTGATCTAGACAATTGTGATTTCACCAAAACAAGGCTTAGCGTGTTGTGTGAATGCAGAAGTCTCATGACCAACATGTCCAGAAATACGCCCTGCTATCATCACTACACGACCTGGCATGAATATAATTGTAATTGTGAGTGCAGAAGTCCAGTGGTCAGGTGCTATTCATTGCGTAAGTTGCAGCAATCAGAGATGTTGGCAGGGGATCCAAAAAGTCAAGATGACAGCTGCAAGACAGACAGACAGACAGACAGACAGACAGACAGACACACACACACACACACACACACACACACACACACACAAAGGGATGGGTCTTGAATCATGTGGTCATGATGACCCTCATGACTTGCACCCCTGCCAGTAACCCATTTCAGGTCAACCAGTCAAGTAACCACCACCCATCAAGGAATTGGCTGTAGGAACTGTATTTCTCGCAGTCAAACCGCCTTGCAGAACAGGATCACCCAGAGTGATCCACAACAGACCTCCTGCAACAGCTGGCGCCCAGAAGTCCACCAACCCAACAGCAAAATACATGTTTTCAAAAGATGATCCACATGGAACGTCTGGTGTCATCCTAAGACAGGAACATCATTCCACACTGGAGAGCCCACCTTAGGGATCGGTCCAGTGGGACCGATCATTTTGGGAAGCCACCTGGGGACTAACATCACCAAGTGACAGCTGCACCCACGAGGCCTTCAGGACAAGACCTTCTCACTTAGAGGTGCCACCAGGCTCTCACTCGTCTAGGTAAAGGCAAAAAGGGACGTTGGGGGACAGATTAAGAAGAGAAAGCTGAAGAAGCTTCTTGGAGGAGAAGCGAAACGTCTTCAAAGAAAACCAAGAAAGTCTGATTTTTAGAATAGATATTTTAAATAGATTAAGAATGTACATTTTGGAATAATAGATTTATTCTTGATGAAAATTATGTATTGGAATTGAAAAATGTTGATTTTCTAGGTTGGGATGGTTTCAATAATTAATGGAGTGTTTTAAATTAGTAAGATGACCTTTTTGTACGATAACATAGATGTGATAAGGCATGATAATCAATTGGATGAAATTTGAAGTTTGTGTAATGAATGGAAATGAATTAAGGTTTAACATTATTTTGTTAATACAAAGAGATTGATCGACTGTGAGATTATACATGTATAGGGTAGATTAATATTTTATTTTAACTAGGATATCTATTGTGTAGCGGAAGAAGAAATAAATGAGCTTGGTGATAAAATGAGGGATGAGAGAGATTAAGAATTAGAATACATCTGGAAGGGATACCTGAACTGATAACTTGTTGATTTAAAGTTAAATTTGATTATGGTCATTGTAAACTGATAAAAAGTTTTTAAAACAGGTTTAGTAGTAACAGAAATTTAATTTAGAAATGGAATATTTTAAACCTATTATGTTATTTGAGGGAACTAGAGAGGGGACAGTGAATGTATTGAGTTGAGTTGTTTATATATCCTTTTACTTTTGAATGTTTGATTACCCAAACATCACGGTGCGTCCTGAGTACCTTTTTCTTAAGAATTAAAAAAAACAATAAAATATATTTTTAAAAAAAGAAAGAAAACCAAGAAAGTCCAGTTGCCTAGATTGAAAAAGCATCTTTGGGACATTAAGAAGAGATTTTTTCTCTCGCGGCTGGAAAGCAAGCCATCGCGCAAAGCGCTCCAAGAGGCTCGGTTGCGCGCACTTTGCGCCTCTTGCTGTGCGTCCTGGCGAGGGGGGGAGAGAAGAGGGGGAGGGACGCGGGGCTGGGCACGCCCCTCCCGGGTGCACGGGGACCGGGCCCGCCCCTCCTTCGGTGCCACTGGGTCCCCCGGGCGCCAGGTGGCTTCTTCTGCGCGCCTGCTGCACCGGTCATGTTCTCGGGCCTCTGGACGGCGCTGGCGGGGCTCCTGCTCCTGCCGCTGCTGGCCAGGCTGGCGTGCCCCTATTTCTTCCAGGACTTGTGCTTCTTCTTGAAGCTGCTGGCCGTGGGGCGGCGGGCCAGGCAAGGCGCGATGCGGCGCCCCCCGCGCACCTTGCTGGAGGTGTTCGGGCAGCAGGCGCGCCGGGCGCCCGAGAAGCCGCTGCTGCTCTTCCGAGACGAGGTCTACACCTATCGGCAGGTGGAGAGGCGCAGCAACCAGGTGGCGCGGGCTCTGCGGGAGCAGGCCGGGCTCCGGCAGGGCGACTGCCTGGCCCTTTACCTGGCCAACCAGCCCGCCTACCTCTGGATCTGGCTGGGCTGCGCCAAGCTGGGCTGCGCCCTGGCCTGCCTCAACTGCAACGTCCGAGGACGGCCGCTGGTGCACAGCTTCCAAGCTAGTGGGGCCAAGGTCTTGCTGGCCGACCCAGGTGAGGAGGGGCGTCCCTGCCCTGTCCCAGAGCTGGGCTCTCCATCCGCGGAGCCCAGCTAGGAGGTGGGGTTGAGGTCATGGGACAGATTGGAGAGGACGCGGTGATGGAGAGAGACCTGCTGGGTTTCTAGCCAGTCCCCAGTTCTGGGGGCTGGGAAGGAGGATCAGGGGAGCCTCCATTTCTCAGCAGCTTTTAAAACCTTCCCAATCAGAGAATGAGAACTTCTCCCCGTCCTTGCTGTCCATGGTCCCAGAATCGTCCCAATAGAAAGGGAAACATATTAAAGGGAGAACTTCCAAGTGTACACCCTCAACTTAGGATTTTCAGAATAACAGAGCAACAGAATTTGGAAGGGACCTTGGAGGTCATCTAGCCCAACACTCTACTCAGGCAGGAAACCCTGTACCATTTCAGACAAATGGTTGTCCAATCTCTTCTTAAAAACTTCCAGTGTTGGAGCATTCACAACTTCTGGAGGCAGGTTGTTCCACTGGTTAATTGTTCTGTCAGGAAGTTTCTCCTTAGTTCTAGGTTGCTTCTGTCCTTGATTACCTTCCATCCGTTGCTTCTTGTCCTGCCTTCGGGTGCTTTGGAGAACAGCTTGACTCCCTCTTCTTTGCCGCAACCTCTGAGATATTGGAACACCATAGCGTCCTTCTTGTCATCAAACTAGACACACCCAATTCCAGCAACCATTCTTTATATGTTTTAGCCTCCAGTCCTCTAATCAAGGCCTTAACTCTTGATTAAGAGTTAACTCTTCAAGGCCTTCCAAAATCCTAGGAAAGAGGGCTGCCAGATCTAAGGGGAAAGTCACTCTACGGGCCAGGGGCTCTTACGGAGAAGGCAAGGTTCCCAGTTCCCAATAGATCACATTTAAAAGAAGCGACCTGGAGCGAATTCACTCTATGTAACTTGGCAGGACAGGCAGATACCCTCAGGGAGAGACAGCCCCATAAATGACCTGGCCTCATGCCATTTCAGGCTTTCAAAGTGATAACCAGCCCTTTGAAGCGCAGGTTGAATTGAAGTTGCCAGACTTGAGAGATTTGTACCTTGCCTTTAAAGTTCCCAAGAAAGGCAAGCGTCCTTTTTCACCTGCAAGCCAGACTTCTGGTTCTGAAAGCTGATGTGATTCAGATGTCTGGATCACTTTGGAAAGAAATGCCGTGTGCAGAAGTATTTGAATCCATCAGAATATTTTGGGAGGCATCTCGTGTTATTCAGTGGGTTCATATCCACTTAGACAGTTTGGAGGACTAATTTGATTCAGAGATTTTATTTTTGTTTATGGTTTGTCTTCTTTTGCAATTTTTTTTTACGTGTGGAAAGAAAGA